ATTGGGATTCAATATGTTATAATTCTAATCTTTTCCCCTCTATCATAACTAATACGTAACACCGTGGTAATTTTACTTGTCATTTGCAACATGTCGAATGCAATTGTTTGCCGAAGCCTTTAGCCCCATACATTTGTTCAATCAAGTATTTATCATCTATAGGCTGTTAAAAAGAGACGTAATATAGAACCCAAGAAGGTCAAAATTACAAATATCCATCAACTCATTGTATATACATTTGTTTGCTAAGCACTGTAACTATCATGCATTGGAAAAATAACCAGTCAGATACGACACCTAGGCTAAAGCATGTTATTAATTAAACAAAAACATCCATTGATGATATTGCCGTACCGCAGAGAGCAGTATGTCGTTTTGATAGGAACCAATTAGTTATCTGTTTGTTGACAACGAGAGTTTTCACAGAGATGGATCTATCGCAGTTTCATCGACACTGGGCTACCTTCTGTCCTTTATGTTGAAGGAATCAAGTAAACCTTTATCATTTCACAGATGACCGATGCTTGAATATCATCAGGAGAATGTTAACTTATTAAACACAATCTACAACACGTGTATTGCATCCAACAAACGTAGAAGAATCGACACCATTACTCAGTCAATATGTAAGTCAGGGAGCCAGTTATATGGCAGCGTTTACCAGTATCAGAGCTAAGATCGTAGATGTATAATTGAAAGAATTGATGACGAGGAACGCACATTAAAGACAATTCATAACATGCCGAACCATCCAGTTAGAACAGATCATAAACAACACCCAATACTATATACGATTGTAGTTGAGGATACCTTTTTTAACCTATTTGGTATATTTGGTTTGCTCACTCATTGTTGTCAATACAATAGAATTTTATGCGACTGTCATAAAAGTGAGAGGTTTAGCTAACTATAGAACCAGACTTAATCCACCATTTTCTACATAAGGAAATGCCTGTACCAAGTCAGGAATATGACAGTTGTTTTTCATTCGTTTGATGTGTTCGAGCTTTGGATTTTGCCATTTGTTAAGGGACTTTCCGTTTGGAATTTTTCTTGGAGTGCGGTATTTTTGTTATTTTACTTTAAATGATTAAATGTCCTATCTGTAACGACTTCTTGCTGAATCCATCGTCTGTAATTAATAAAATTACGAAATAGTTGTTGCAGATCTGATACATCATCGATATTACGTTTAAACGTGGGAAAGGCATTCTTGAACAATGAATTGCATGAACTAGATGCAACAAGAAAAATATATTCGTGTAAAAAAAAAATAAAATAAAATTTGTTTCCATTGGTTATCTGTTATATGTGTCGCTTCATCCAACAGATGTTTTCCCTATATTCTGTGCGATATTTTACCTCAGTAGAACAGACTCAACGAGAGAAAAATGATATAGATAGAATGATTGAGTAGGACATCTACGTCAATGGTGTTATATTGAGCGTCAAGCCATTGATCAAAGCCAATCACATGTAAAAAGGAGCGAGATAATTAATGTCAAAATAGAGTTTTATCTCCAATTAATCACATCCTATAGTTAACGCTTACACTACCAAGAACTAATAAATAACTTGACAGGTTTAGTAATGAAGTGGGATAAAAATAAAGGAATAATAATATTTCGTACAACATAAAATTGGCTTGACCACGAAATGAGAGATTACTAAAAAAAAAAAAAATCTTAAAGCTATTACTTTAGATCTAATCTAATAATATATCTTCTCAAGTATTTCAAGTATTTATAATTTTGTCTTGTATAGTTTTGGCTTTAAGAATTGGTCATGAGTGATAAAAATAAACCAGAACAGAGACACACTAGCAGCCAGCATTGTTGATCAGTGTTAAACTTAAACCAGAACAGAGCCACACTAGCAGCCAGCATTGTTGATCAGTGTTATACATAAACCAAAACAGAGTCACGCTAGAAGCCAGCATTGTTGATCAGCAGCAACGTCTAGATTGAACAGTGTTTACGTGTAGAATTTGACATTTAGTAGATTACAGGTACGAAATCAGAGAGTGTAATGAACGATAGACCACTAACGAAAACCTCATCGTATGTAAACCACAAGCCAAAACTTACTCCATTGCACCTTTGTTATGGTAGAAAAACGAGATTGTTAATGTATCCATTTTGGACCGGAATCAAGTTTATATACATTGATGTAGTATTTCTCCTTTAAAACACGTGCTAAATAAGTTTGTATAGGTTTTTAACTAAACTGATAAATGATAAACGGCATATGTTTAAAATACAAGCAACCAATTAATCTGTGTCAAAATTGAAATTAACTATGAATCTTAACAGAAACAGACATCGAAATACATATTTAATACCGTCAATTTAAATGAATTTGGAATATGACATAACTAAAACAATTGAATTTGAAATATAGATACAACAGAAATAATCTAGAATGCGTCAATCCAAGACTTTCAACTAGAAAACTGTAACATGCAGTAGGGGTCTGATGAAACTTATAATGCCAAAAACGTTGGTTTGTATCATGATTCAAATAACACCGATTATTGAACTATATATTTTCAATTTGACAGTATCATTTTAGCATTGTCAGAGCCTTGAAAAAAATATTTTCTGGATAAATAGATTTATCTTTTAAGGAAGCTATTTTACTAACGAATTTCTACGACAAGGAATTGCGCCATTGATATCGTCTACACATATTGAATTGTAAATGAATAAGACTAAGGTTGGAAGTTTCTGTATTTCCTTAAAACCATCCATAAATCATGTTTTTCAAAGTCAAACGGTTAAAATTGGTTATGAATCCAATATTCGATGGTCGATACTTTATCATGTTTATGGTGAGTTTTCAAGATGAACTTCAGTATTCAAACTGTTAGTGTTCGAGATTGGGCAAGTGTCTAAACTATATCTCTAATCATAAGTAAGATCAACTTATGGAAAACAAAATGACTATGGGGGTTTTATTAATAGCACAAAGTTACTACACGCATTGACAAATTCAAACGTTAAATTGCTTGTGTTGCTGTTTTGCATCAGACAGTCACAAATAGGCCCGCACCTTGCAGCAAAGAGTCAGATCTCTCAAGCTAAAAACTGACTCTCGCATTCATGTAAGCAATATGGTTTGGTAAAAATCTACCACGCTACATCTGTTCGCACTGAAACACATCAGCGGGATATCATCACCAAATTTGGGCAAACAAACTTACAGCCTCCAGGTGCGGGATTTTCTCGCTGCGTTGAATAGCAATTTACGGCTTTGGACTGTTTTTTGCTCTTTTGTTGGGTTGTTGTTTTTTTACACATTTTCTTTGACACTCTCAATTATATTTGCAAATACGGTCATTAATTGACAATCTTGCAGTATACCCTTACCATAATTATACCAAACTCAGCTAAAATCGTCCCCCACGTGTGAATGAAATCAAAGACCATAAATAATTACTTATGATCCCAACTGAATGATTCTCGTATTTGACCATACATTAGTATTGTATTTGGACGGACTCTTGCACTGATGTGCGCGGAATAGTTTGTTAAATATCTACCATCACGCTACATCTGTACGCATAGCAATACATCAGCGGGAGAACATCAATAAATTCGGGCAAACAAACTTACAGCATACGGGTGTTGGATTGTCTTGCTGCTTTGAAGAACCATTGGTGGTCTTAGGCTGTTTTTAGCTCTTTAGTCGGGTTGTTGTCTTTTTGACACATTCCCGTAGCAATTATCTATTATATTTACAAATACTGTCATTGATTGACAATCTTGCAGTATATCATAACCTTAAATATACCAAGCTGAAAATCGTCGCCCGCATGTGTATGACAACCTAAGACAATAAATAATAATTTAAAAAGTAAAATTCATATAGAAGAAAAAACGTTACTCTGAAATATTGGTTTGCCAACAAGTAAATCAATAAGGATCCTACATCAGGTCAGTAATCACTATTTTGTATAAGAATGTTTTCATTTTGAAATGATGTTAAGATGATTCCTTCCATCAAATACTCAACAAGTTAGCACCATTATTCGTCAAATTTATTTCTTCAATGATTTTTTTTGATGGTGTTATTGAATAATAGTTAAACAAATTTAAGTTCGTCAATGTTTAGTGTAACAAAATATTAAATGAACTCCTGCACATACAAGGATTCAGCACATGTGCTATGGAAGTGTTAGATTCTTCGTATAAAAAAAAGAACCGAGAGAGATTGTGTGTTAAACCGAGAATAGGTTTAATTGATTGACAGAGGCTTTGTAGTCTTTGGGGGAAAACAACCTTATGTATGGCATGTGTCGACAAGTTAATTCGTCACTTTTATAAATCGTTCGTTAATGAATAAACTTCACTTTTACTTCAATCACAAATAAAAAAGTAAACATTCTATTAAAAATACATAAAGAGGGTTTTTATAACAAAACTATAAATAATATTCTATTTTGTTCATATGTTTATGAATCAATTCGTATGATTAAAATATAACTTTTTAATGGTCTGATGGTATTTTTTAAAAGTTACATTTTTTAGATATATTTCAGTTGCAAAAAACATAAAAAAATCTGAACTAAAAAGAAGATGCCAAAGGGGAATCAACGATATATCAAATTTATTAAAAACACTTAATGGCAAAACCAAAAACCGATAATCACCTTCCTCATAAGGCAACTTAGTATTGGGCAACACTTACCCAAACTCATAAATTAGTATATTTTATACTTGAAACACCAATTTAGCTCATGGCAAGAGAAAATGGGAGGATTAACAAAACATATTTTCTAAGCTTTGATTCGTTTAATCAAAATTGAAAAAGATTAATACACTGTTATGATAACTATTCTTTATCTTATATAAGATTTTAAGATGAAACTTGAAGAAACGTTGAAAAATAAGAGATAGTTGCATCCTAATAAGAATTTACAATACATAATTCTACTTCTTGTAAGCAAATATTAATATTTTGCAGTTATTAGAAAGAAAAAAGTTTTATAATGGTTCTAAACAAGAATTTTAAATGTGAAAACTAGTGAGTTTCTGTATTTTTATATAGTTTCTTAAATTTTTTTTTTACTTCTGTTATTCTGAATTGCAAGCCGATATACAAAGGAAAAAATGTTCATCGAGTGAGAGCTACATTCGCACATGTATCCTTAATGAAATCCTTTAACTCTTCATATTCATTGCACTTTTCCTTGTAGTGACTTTTTCCTTTTTGCTTTTTCCCTTTCTGCTTTTTTCCTTTCTGTTTCTTTCCCTTTATGTGTCTTATCAGTGCTCTTCTACCTCCTCCTCCACTTTCTTCACTGGAACTGCTGGAAGATGAGCTTTCTGAACTTTCTGAACATTCTTCCTCAAAGATTCCTAGGAGTTCGCTACAGAAACCCTCTAGGGAAATCGAAGGTGTTGATGTACAAGGAGTACCAGATGTAGTCAGAGGACAACCAGTGGGAATATCACATCCGACAGGAAGCGGTGACGGAACTAAAAGTCAAATTATATAATTAAATGACTACTTGTAACCTAACTGTTCTTTGCTGATTTGCTGATTCTTTTAGGTTATAAAATTCATATGTATTGGAATGGTGTATTAGATTTTCAAATGACCTATGATAAGCTGTTTCCAACTTTTTCCTTTACAAACATCGATGCAAGAATAGACAATAGTACATTAACAATCCACTCAAGCATTTCTACATTTATCCAAAATGGAAAGACATATCTAAATTAGACGTGTTTATTGAAGTGAATTGTGATAATATCAAACATTTTTATGATTCAAGCGGCATTTTCGAAACAAAGATTTCAACTTTTTCACAAACTTAAAATGACTGTAACATATCCATTTTAAAATTTGATAGCGATTCTACTCTTTGATGTGAAACAAGCACTATCCTGTTTTTTGTGTGCATCTTTAAATCGAGTATGCCCATTTTGTTTTGCAAGTACCATTTTGTTTTTTTCACCAATTGTACATCAATTCTTTCAATATGTTTGCCTAAACGAAAAAGAATCATCTAACGTGGAAATAATCTGTCTTTAAAGAACGCTTTTTTCAAATGTTATCTTCATTTAAAAAGAGCTTCAACCAATTTGTTTTTTATTTTATGATTTTTATTTGTCTTTTTTATGCCTGTTCTATTAAACTTAATTTGAAATTGCTTTTCCATGTATCATAATCAATTTGTATTCGTATCAAGCCAATTTTGAATTTCCTTAAAATTATATGCCGTTATCTTCATTTTTGTTCAAATAAGTGGTCATCCTGTTGGTATTTAATTGCGAGTTTTATTTGTACGACATATGTTCTAATTAGGTAGACATTACGTTTCTTTTCTATTATGTAAATATGTGCGCATGATGTGGAGCAGGATCTGCTTCCCCTTCCGGAGCACCTGAGATCACCCCCAGTTTTTGGTGGGGTTCGTGTTGCTTACTCTTTAGTTTTTCTATGTTGTGTCATCTGTACTATTATTTGTCTGTTTGTCTTTTTATTTTTGGCCATGGCTTTGTCAGTTTTTTTTCGATCTATGAGTTTGACTGTCCCTCTTGTAATTTTCGTCCCTCTTGTAATTTTCGTCCCTCTTTTTTAACACCAACTTATTTTGTGTAATATACCGGGACCATATGTTGTTTGTCTTTCATTGTCTGTGTTTGTATGAACTCAACAAAGGTATCAGGCTCACAAGTCGGCGCGCATTTTGGCTAAAAAAAGACTCACCAGTGAGGCTCGAATCAAAACTTTGGAAGGCCAAATTTAGTTTGAAGCCGAAGTGTATTGAAAACAAAACATTCTAAAAATATGTCCTTTTTCTCAGAGGAATCGATGTAACATGCGGTGTGGTCGATTCATGTTATCCATTTTTATGGTTTATTAAATTAAGTACTCAATACAGAGCCATTTGAGATCTACACCGCCAGTACGTTTTAAATTGTAAACTTACATGGCTCCAGTGACTTGTATTCTGAAAAATATCATGTAGTTGAATAATCTATTGCGTTAAAAGAAAAATCTATTATTTTTTCTTGAAAACAACTTTTAATATCTTATATCTATGTAAAAGGGGATATACATTGTATGGTATGATAGCCATTACGACGACTATATAATAAAGACAAAATAACGTAGATATCAGCAACAATATGTAACCGTGCAACCTTGAACAATGAGCAAAACCCATACTCCATAGCAAGCTAAAAAGATCCCTATATTAGTAATTGTTATTCTAAATCGGAAAAGATGAAACACAAAACGTTTCTTGTGTAACAAGTTTGGCACGGAGCAATACATATGTCATAACATTCAAGCAGCGCCTACATATGAAATATATATCTCCCAGTCGATACGATATTTCAGGGCTTGTATTTCCTATCATGATTTCCTTGATCATGTTGATAGAGGATTTCTTCTCACAAGTAAGCTATTGAATTCCAAGTGGTGAAATTGAAATCATCCCTTCGTAAATTTTATGGATGCCATCACGAGTTTGTTGGAATATCTGTTTTGCAGATGAGGACGAATGTGTTCCAATTGTCGTAACTACAATACCGTCCCCTTTTTCTCGAATCTGACCCATCGAACTAGACTTATCAACGGGTTGTACATACATGAGCAACGCGACAGGTGCCACATGTGGAGCAGAATTTGCCTACCCTTCCGGACCACCTGAGATCACTCCCTGTATTTGATGGGGTTTGTGTCGCTCAGTCTTTAGTTTTCTATGTTGTGTTTTGTGTTCTGTTGTCTAACTGTTGGTCTTTTTCTCTTTTAGCCATGGCATTGTCAGTTTATTTTCGTTTGAATGTCCCTTTAGTATCCTTTGCCTTTTTCTATAAAGTATTTTTTTCAGTCTTTATTATGTTATGCTTTAAAATTGTAATTATGAGGACTTAAACGATTTATTTAATAATGGTAAATTATCGTTTTCCCACAATAGACAAAACCAGAGAGAGCAACTAATGTGTTTTGCGTGTAGATAAATAGTGTATATTGCGTATTGAAGAGCCAAACGATAAATATTAAAGAAGAAAAAAAAAATCTCTAAACGATAGATACAGCTTTATAAGAACAACAGTAAGATACCAAAGTGATATTCAAACTCATTTGATGCGACTGTCATACAAGTGAGAGGTTTAGCTAGCTAACAGGTTCAATCCACCATATTCTACATAAGAAAATGCCTGTACCAAGTCAGGAATATGACAGTTGTTATCCATTCGTTTGATGTGTTAAAGCTTTTGATTTTGCCATTTGATTATGACTTATATCTAGAAATTGACTATGAGGGTCGGTTGAAAACAAAACTTTACGACAAAGGAGATGATTTCAGCTTCCCAATTGTGAATTTTCATTTTTAAACCAAGAGTTCCAAATGGTGAAGTTAAAATCATCACTTTGTAAATTTTACTGACGCCATCACTAATTGGTTGACCGTTATTGAATATCCGTTTCACAGATGATATCGGATATGTTCCGTATGTCGTAACTACAATCCCGTTCCCTTTTCACGAATGTGACCTACCGAATTAGACTATTTACCCCTATTTGAGACATTTTTACCTATTGTGTTTGTTTGTTTCGTTCACACATCGTTGTCAATATAATGGAATTTGATGCGACTGTCATACAAGTGAGAGGTTTACCTAGCTATAAAACCAAGTTGAATCCACCATTTTCTACATAAAAAAATGCCTGTACTAAGTCAGGAATATGACAGTTGTTATTCATTCGTTTGATGTGTTTGAACTTTTGATTTTGCCATTTGATTGGGGACTTTCCTTTTTGAATTTTCCTCGGAGTATTTTTGTTATTTTACTTTTTTTTCATATGTCGGAAACAGACCGACAATTCTATGACAAAAAAAACGAAATACAACGAAAAGACAAACAACAGAACACAAAACAAAACATAGAAAACTAAAGACTGAGCAACACGAACTCGACCAACCCCTGGGAGATCATAGGTGCTCCGTTATGGTAGGCAGATCCTACTCCACATATGGCACCCGTCGTGTTTTTCATGTATGTACAAACTCTGTGATAAAAAAATAAATAGATATAGACTGTTTTGTTTTTGGTGATTGCAGTGATTTATGAGGGGTTGTAATTCCTATCTGTATAGATCATTTTCACATTAGGAAATTTTCTTTTCATAAATTTAATTCATAGCGAGTATATGATGTGTACATAGCACATGTTCATAATATGTAACTCCTTTTTTCAGAAATGATAACTTCTTAATGTTAAAATCATTGGTTATTTCAAATCAAACAAAAAGATTATAATTAGATGGACTTCTAGTTTATTTTTACTCAATTTTATGAAAGCACACTGTTGTTTTTCCCTGCTTTAGTAAACGTTTATGGATTTCTGTTTCTGAAATTATCAGTAAAATGTATCTGAATAGTATGTATGGAATTAATCATTATAGTGAAAAGTATAAACCATGTAATAGGCATTCGGCTTTATCTACTATTATGTATTATTGTGGCAGTACTTTGGTTTGATAATTAATGTAATGAAAAGGAGTTAAACTAGTTGTCTTTTCAAATATTTGGCTAAACATATCGCATTTTAATATCATCGTGGAGTCCAAATATCAGATAATGAAAATATAATTCATGATATTCTGAAATCTTAATAAGAAGTATACTACTCTCTTTTATTACCTTACGCAAACTACCATGGATATTTTATTTGTTATGGACAAAACGAAGTGTACCATTATGGCAACAGAACCTGCTTACTACTTGAGTTTACCAATTTTGTATATTCAATTGTCGCCGCTCAATTTTAAATTTTATATGTATAAGTAGATTCCTTTACAATACTGTTCTGTCAACTACAAATAATGATTTTTTGGCACTAATTTGACAGAAATAACCAATTTTGTTATTACATAAAGATGAAATATGCTGATAACTGTCACCAGTGTTTTCCTTATTGAGTAATCCAAGCTTATAAGAATTGATTCACGAGTTTGTTTTGTTATGTTAAAAATATCAAGTTAATGATAAATGATAAAAGAATTTGGATTCTCTAAACAACATGTGTCGATCACCTGTATCCACTATAACAATGGGTACTACCAAAATTTGTAAGCTAGAATAAAATTCATGACTATGATCTTCTGTTGTTGATTTCGTATTGCTAATATTTTTTTCTATTACATTTTTTCCCTTCTAGTATAGTTTTTATTCAAAGTACAAAAAGGGAAAATATCGTCACTCAAAGGTAATAACTTCCATAATGCGCCAACTGATTATTCGGCTTTGTAGAACTATATGTAGATCTTGTCTTGTTGATCAGTTATGAAGATTAGAGTTTCTCTGTTACATGCTTAACTTCTATAGTTTTTGCCCACATGAAACGGGTACAAAATCGTCTTTTAATGATAATAACTCCTATAAGGACTCGACTAAAAATATTATTTATGTTGTTATGATTTCAGACCTTGTCGTGTTGATCATTTGGGGTATTTACACTTTTTTTCTTGTTGAACATTTGAGGTGTTTACATCTGGTCTTCATCTACTATAGTTTTGGCTCAATGAGCAAAAAGTTGGAAAACATCATCCCTAAAGACCAATAACTTCAATTCTATAAAAGGTAAACCGACGATTTCTGCCTAATAAAAAAGGTGTAAATGTTGAACTGTTGGTAATTGTTGCTGTTTACAGCTTTAAATAATCTACTATATCTTTGGCCAAAATGCAAACATTGGAAACATTATCATTAAGGGGCAATAATTCCAATGGAGTCCCCCGACAATTTCGAACATGTAAAAAATGTGAAGATTGTGACCTGCTGATCATTTTTGCGATTTAAAGTTTCTCATTTAATTTATTTAGTAAATTTTTTTCAAAATAAAATGCAAAAACGGAAAAAAGTGGTTAAAATCGTCATTTTTAATAACATCTGTAAGGAGTTGACCGACGATTTGATCATGTTGGCAAATGTGTAGTTCTTGTTCGGCTGGTCATGTTTTCTATTAAAAGAGAGGCGAAAGATACAAAAGGATCATTCAAAGTCGAAAATAAATTGACAACGACATGGCTAAAAAAGAAAAAGACCAACAGACAAACAACAATACACATAACACAACAAAGGTTCTCTTTATCTGTAATAGTTTTGAAGATGATAAAGCAAAACGGCAAAACAATTATAAAAATCCTCATTGAATGACATTAACTCCTATGAGGAGTCTACCTATGATTTCGGTCATTTGATTTATTTGAGGATTTTGTCTTGCTTATAATTTGTGCAATATAAAATGTCTATCTTTCTACTGTACTTTTTAAGATAATACACAAAATAAGACAAAATTGATAAACATTGTCATTTGAGGGCAATAAATCCAATAATGAGTCGTATGATAATTGGGGTGAAAACAAACATAATAGCTAATGTCGCCATTTTGTCTCTGTTGTAATGTTGTCTCATTTGCAATAATACCATATTTTCGTATTATCATACAGTAGGTAGGTTGCAATATTCTAAGCACTTCTGTCCTTATCTCTATTTAAAGCGGTTTTCAAGATATTAGACAAAAGTTGCTATTTTTCCATATGTTAAATATTTATCCATGTCGGCTATGTTGGTTGGCAGAAGGGATCATTAAACACACTGTATATACCCGCAGATGACAGGTGCCAAATTTGGTTTCAATTACATGAATTTGCATTGTAGATTAAGCGGAGAAGATTGTTGCTCATTTGACCTATGAGGCAGGTGAGTTAAAAAATAACCCCGTAGTTAATTCTTATACTGGTTAACATTTCGTATTGATTTTTGTTAAAAAATAAGCTTGATGAATTTTTTGCCTGATAATACAATGTTTTAAATATAATTTGTTCACTTACCACGAAACAAGATTAGGAAAGGGTCAGAAATCATGTTTGCACATACATCACATAAGGTAGGATCACCTGTGGATAGAAATTACAATAGGTTGTGGTGCAAGTATCAACACATACTGATCTAAATTCATAACACAAACACACATGTATATACTTAGCAAACACTAAAACAAAATCCAGTTACAAGGCACTGTTTGATGCAGCCATGAAAAAACAGGTACGAATTTCACACGTCATTTATTGTTATTTTTTTATTGCTTTGAACCGACTGAAAGTTTGGAAAAGAGGTGTGTTTGCTTTACTTTTTTTTCCAAATAAATGAAACTCCGGAGAACATCGACATTTATTTGCTAAAAAATGTAAATTTAAATTTCAAATAGTTATGTTTAACCTTCGAACAATATGATTGACAGCATATAAGTCACTTTATTCTGTATTATTATACAATATACCTGTGCTAGGTGTTGTTTGTCCAATAGTATACGCTTGTGGCGTCGAGCTGTCCGTTGAAATAAATTTTAAGCATTCAAAAATAAACCCGCGGCTACAAAATAAAGTGCATCTAATTAGTACAATGACACCACTGCGGTAAAATGATTATGGAAATAAAGAAATTAAAAAACAAAAATTACATTAAATGTATAAATTCTATTTCATTTTCACTTAATGATAACTCACATATAGAAAAGGCATAGAAATGTCAAAAAAACGCGTTTAAAGGATGTGTAAAGCAATGACAGACTACTAATAAATTATTTCGGTCACTCGGCCAAAACAATGTTTGAGTATAAAAAGAATGGATAGCCGATGTCATTTGTGCCCTTAAAAAAGTAAACTACAGTTTTTTGGCTCGATTTTAAGTATTGTTTTCAGACTTTTGTCAATAATTATTAAAGAAAATAAAAAAACATTTTACCATTGATTCTTTTGTATGTTTTGGAGTGTGAAAAAAAGAAAAGAAAAAAGAGAATTCTGACTTCTTATTTGTGTTTTCATTGTCACATGTCACTATAAAAGACTGTCGCTTATTAACTTTTACTCTTAACAAAATTAGTGACATGGACGTTATGTTATTCTGAATACAAAAATATAACAAGTATTCTCTATCTTACTCAATCAGGTAAAAATCACCATTCCTATCTAGGCAATCGAAGGCTAATATGGTCACTAGGCTCCCGGCCATTGCTTCGCCTTGAAGAAGCATCTGCGTCTCAGAAAATGTAAATATGTCAGAACTTGCTTGAGTGTCATATGATCTACCAACAAGTTCACTGGGAAAGTTGCAAAGACCTGTATTAATAGATATAACAGTGATTTCAACAATTCTGACACGATGATAATCCACTGATACTCGATGGAATACGTCTTTCGGAAAGTTTGCACTAATGAGAGGTATACAAATTTGAATTTTTGATAGCCAATGTTTTACATTAATTTCCCTGTCTTGGTATTTTTTTCAATTTTTCCAAAATACTTTCATTATTGTGATTTTCCTTCCCTTTGGGTACAAATGAAAAAGTAATAACAGGATAATAGAAGGTTATCAAGTTGAGTGAATGGGAAAACATAAAATGCCAGGCGATTGTCGCTGGAGAAGTGTCAGCTATAGGAACCGTTCTGGTCCAAACTTTGTTTTGGAAAACGTAAAAATTAACATTCATTCCAGCTGTGCAAACAACGAATAAGTAATTTGCTTATAATACAATGTATATTAAAATATTCAATATCTATTTCAACGTATCTAGTATATCTAAAGACTTTATATCTGAAATTGAGAACGGGGAATGCGTAAAAGAGACAACAACCCGACCAAAGAGCAGAAAACAGCCCAAGGTCACCAATAGGTCTTCAACACAGTGGAGGCGGGCTTTAGTTGGCCCCTAAACAAAAATGTATACTATTTCAGAGAAAATGGACGTCACAATATACTCCGAAACATATAAATGAACCCCAAAAAAAAAAAAAAAACCATACAAGACTAACAAAGGCAAGAAGTTTCTGACTTGGGACAGGCGCAAAAATGCGGTGGGGTTAAACATGTTTGGTGAGATCTCAACCCTCACCCTGTTTTGTTAAAATAGAGCCACTTATTATATCGAATACGTCTAAATGTTGCATTTTATAAATTAATTATACGTCATATGGAAAATTGTTTCCTTCAGCATCAGATCGTGAAATTAAGACATGAAGCCTACTGTCGAGTTATTTCAAGGGACTTCAACATCGTTCAGAACCAAGTTGTAATAAACGTTCTGATAAAACTACCAAAATATCTCCCTATTAGAAATAGATTTGAGAAAGAATCATCATTTAAGATACTCTTTTATCATATTTCTAAAAATTGGTTTCAACTAAGTAAATGAAAAAAAAACCACTTGATTATAACTGATTGAATTTATGAATATTGTTGATATTCGCATATCGCATATAATGATCTATTTGGATAATAATAAAAGGTTTATAATATGCAAAAATTTCTAGGAATTGAAATACATTTCCATATTCGCAAAAGTTTTTTTGTTCGTACCAGTCGATAAAGCAGCCTACAACAGGAAAAATGTGGTGGTGATATGACATAAATACTGCAAAAAAAAGTACTTAGAAATGAAATTATGCATTCTACTACTTTCGATCCTGAAACCTGCAATGACAGACAAATTGTAGACGATCAGAACATTACCACACTAAATACAATTAACGAACTTATCATTTATTTTTGCAATAAAGCATATAAAATAATTGACATTAATTATTTTGGACAGTGTAAAAAAACTCTTTTGATGTTTGAAATAATGTACGTGCGTTCGACGACCTTTTATTTAGGCTGACAGTTTTGTCTTTCGAACTTTCTTCTGTAATCGTGCTAGATAAACTTACTAGAGCTGTGGTGAGATGATGAAAGCTTTGAATCTTCTGCTTGACAACATTTATGTTCGTTTCGACCATACAAATGATCGACAGGTAACATGCATTCATATGGGCACTAGGTGCGCTCCTTTAATAACAGAGTTGTCACTGCTTTGTTGTGAATCACAGTTTATTGCAAAAATCAGGTGCTTTTGTTCATGTCACGGAAAAGAATATGTGCCGAGGACGACGAAATACGTTATATAATATCTTTATGTGTCGCTCCAGCTGGAATTTGTCTGGCGCCTCAATACTTTTCCCAAACTAAAGTATCAATCAATAAATAATCCACCATTGTATTAGACGGACAGATACAGTAGAACAAGCAATTATGGAAGGAAATTTATAATCCTACTTAAACACATATTTTCACTACATGTTTGATTCCTAGAGTAAACATGGCATAAACTTATCTTTAAATCTTGAGTTTTACCCAGACTGTGATAGAACACAACAGAGGATAAATAAGATACGCTTGTGCCAAATTAAATAATAGTTCCTTTGATGAGAAATCACAAAAAAACTAACAAAAACAAATACATTAAATAAAAAAAATAACCTAGGTAAAAGTGGCTTTTCTGGGTTCTTTTGAATCTTAGTCTAGGATTTATTATAGAAGTTGTCATTCTAGGGAAATAACTGATAAAACATGTCTACTGGAACATTACAATCATCTAGCAATGGTACCTACACATAACTTTAATAATTTATTTTGAATCATATTCTTTTTCTAAATTTAGAAATGCTCAAATATTTTAAGATAACAACTTTCTTCTGAAAATCCCAATTACCTATATCTGATATCTATACGAAAAGTGTTACCATATATATATCATGTATATATAAATGTATGAATAGCATATATCTAAAGCTACAATTTGATCTAAAAACATTGAAACAGATTTCGTAGTTTTATGTGTCTTCAATAAATGTTATCAGCTTGAACTTGCTAGTAAATTATCATTCGTGATTAAAATAGTAGTATGACGTGATCATTATAACTAGCCTTACCTTGAACAACCGTAATGGTCTCCAACAAAAAGATAACAACCAAACCTCTCATCATCCTTGTTCTGTGTGCAAACAAAAGTGGGGAACTTCAATTTTATACCATTTTATAGAAGCGTTCAAGATAAATGTGCAATGAAAAAATAATTACCAACGATGGAAAAAAAAATATTATGTATTTAAATTTGAAGATATCTGATAAATTGCCAACCGTTCAAGTTGATATAATTCAGTTACTGAACCATCTTGACTAGCAATAAAATATTTCTTTTAGGATTTCATCTTTTCTTTATTTGTTTACTATTTGACAAGTATCATATTCTCTATGCTTCCATGCTCTTCTCTACATTATAACACTTTCCTTAGTATTATAATTACAAAAACGAGAAAACCCTATGATAGATTCGCCTTTAGCATGTTTAATGCATAACATGTACAAAACACCAAATACATCTCAAATTAGCTTCATATTCAACATTCCTACCGAAGGTCAGTGGTTCTCTCCAGGCACTCCGGCTTCCTCCACCAATAAAAACTGACCGCAACGAAAAAGCACAATAGTGTTGAAAGTGGCGTTAAAACACCAACCAATCAATCAATCAATCATATCCAACACGTCAATGTGTCTAAGGTTTACTTTGCCAGAGTGAGTTGCAATGAACAAGAAATTAAAAGCATGCAATGAACCATCTGAACCAAGCATTTTATACAGGGCAGATGGTTCCTTCAGGGACGGATAGACGACCAGTAACTGTACCGGAATAATGGTAATAAAGTTTGATATGATTGACTCACGTACAGCAGTTGTTTCTTGAATAACCTGTTGCGTTTCAGCCCAAAACTTTCGTGAGCCAAAAAATGAAAAAAGAAACATGTTGAAGAGTCTACAACAAGAAGGGCCAGATGCATATAAGGTAAATTTTGCTTTCGAGTAGCACCTGTCAATGAATTGTATATAACACAATACCCAAAGGAGTTTGTTGATAAATAGTTGCAATGTGCAATGAAGCTACTGGACAAATGATTCATTTTACATGTTTCTTCATATCGTTGAAAGATACCCGAACACGATCCTGATATGACTGTTATGAAAAATATCTGCCCCATGCTTGCATTTGAGATGTCGTAACCCTCTTATCATGAATAATTTCTTTTCTGTGTTGTATTTTGTATACTGTCGTTTGTCTTTGGTCATTTTTTTCTGCCATGGCGTTGTCAGTTTATTTCCGACTTGAGTTTGAATATTCCTTTGGTATCTTGCGCCTCTCTTTTATTATCTTACGCGGACCACCATGGATATTTTACTTGTCATGGACAGAACGACGTGTACCATTATGGCAACAGAAACGGATTGCAACTTGATATACCTGTGTTTATCCATGTTGTATATTGAATTGACGCCGCTCAATCTTAAGTTCTAAATGGAGTGCTTTGAAGTCTTTTGATCGCATTTAGGTTTTTTTTCTATTTGCGATTAAATTGTTTGTCTTTTTTCGACTTTCATTCAGATTTGTAGTTTGGTAAATGTATCTTTTTACGGTTTCTTATAAGATAAAAAATAAAATAGGAAACACTGCAAAGTTTTGACTGGATAGAGAAGCAATCCAGTTGGTTTTTACTTTATTCGATTTCTGTATTGTACAAAAATAGAAGCAATAATTGAATTGCTTAACTTTTAATATGTTATTCATCAAAAGTTCTAAGGCAACTTACCTTCTGATGTAAGATCAATTAGTTATAAATTATGTTTATTATGATAGATTGTAAAATTTTCGAATATTTATTTACGTAATATGATCCTTTTCTTTTTGAAAAGATGAAACATTTTTTTAACTCTTTAATATAATGCAATACTTATAATTATATCAACTAATGTCTTTTATATTCTGAATAAATATAACATATTTGATCAATCAAAGTTTGTAGCAAATAAAATAAATGTCTGTACTTTACTTTCCGAATGCCAATGAAAACCGATGACATATGCAACTGAATGCATTTTTCGCTCTTAATTTATACATTACTATATCATTCTCCAAAACTCTCCGAAACAATTAAACAAGAACATGCCTAATATTTTAAGAAATAGTCCAAGTCCGCACGAACATCTATGATTTAAAAACATACTAAGCAAAGGAAAAAGGAAAAATGATACATATTTCCCTTAAACGATTGGAAAGGAAATAATATAAACGCAAATTTTCAGTGCTAATAATGAACAAGGGTTTAAAACACGAACGACCCCACCCCCGCCCCCAGGGAAAAGACAAATCATCCGTTGTTTTTAATAAAAAAAATTTGATGGCTTAACGATATGGAACAAACATCTTTCATTTTAACATGCATGTCATTTTCCTAGGAAATTGGATGTTTCATAGCAATTTAGATATCAATTTCAATTTATAGTTCATTAGTTTTGAAGAAGTAAATATGAATGTATAAGCCAGTTCTTTTTTACTATGATATATTACATTGCTTTAATAACATTCACGCATTCCGAATTACGATAAGAAAGACGCTGTTAAAAAAAGATTGATCAATGAAGGGTCAACATTGGCTTAACATTCCAGAAAATTAACTTTAACTAATCATCATAAAAACTTAATATTAAATGGTTAGAAATATCTGACACATACCATTCCACAAGCTTTGGCGGGTGTGGCAAATGCTGGGTTTTTTCAAAGGGAAAAAGACTGTTAAAATGAGTTCAAATAAGAAATATTGTAATTGAAAAAAAACTCGAACCATATCATACTTCAGAGGCTTGTCAACATTGTCTTGAAAAAGCTTCATTTAAACTTCCATATTTAAGATGATTTTTACATGTTTTATTAGATATTTTATGGTCCACGTATTAGGAAAACATGTTATAACAGCTCTCCAAAAGCTACGAAAAAGCATTTACATTCAAAATCTGAAATTTGGGATTCGATATACAAATTAAAGCAATCGAAAAACATTCTAATTGTTTACAGCAAAAAAAAAAAAAACCCGTCGTACTGTGAAATAAAATAGAAAGGTGAATGATAGGTTGAAAAATGCATTACTAAAATGATGGCATTTATATTCAGTGTGTTTCATGAAATGTTTAAAAAAGTGAAAGTTGGTTGTGTTTGGTGAATGGAATTTCGAATATCGAAGTAACATTGGGTTTGAACGGATATCATGATTAACTTGCAGTTCTACAATAAACATTTCCAGTATGATCGATATCAAAATTTTGGAAAGCCATGAATATTTAACGTTCTAGAGCATAAAACACATTAATTCCTTAATATAAAAGACTAATGCAGAAGCTTTGCCTGATAACATTTGGTCTGCACCGGCACATTGAGTATAAAGATATATCCTTGTTAATACGGTATTTAATACCTTGCGTTTCATATAAAATATCACTGAACAGGGTTGCTGCTTGATAGGAAGCAGTTGCATTATAAAAACAATAAGAGTAGACGCTTAAAGGATGCAATCAAGATTAGGCTGCTATAGAATATCATTCAATATGTCGTTATCACAATATGTTCCCTATATCATAACGCATCATATATCGTGTAATACCATGGGAATTTTAAAAAAGACCACGAGACGTGAATTTGTAATAAAAAAAATCCACGAAGGTCAAAATTACTCAAAATATGTTTGTTTGCAATTTATGTCATATATAACTTATTTAAATGATTTTTTAAAATAGAATCAATAGAAGCCAATTATCTGTGAGTTGGTCTTTGTCATCTCATATAGAGAAAGTTATTTTGATCTGTATAATATTGCCTTAAATTAATTGATAATACTTAATGTATTTGATATCTAGTATGTATATAATAACGTTTATTAAAAATGTGTTGCATTAAAAAAATTAATAAAACGAATTTTTGTATAAAGAGAAAGTTATTTAGATCTGTATGATATTGCCCTAAAATTCTCATTTTATATTACTAAATGTATTTTATATTTTAAAGGTTTATAAGCACGTATATTAAAAATTGGCTGCAATGAAGAAATGAGGAAAAAGATATTTGTATTTTCTAAAACAGTTATAATCAAAAGTTAAAAGAAAATTTTAATTTTTGATTTGATGAATTTAATTTGTCAATAAAATTTAGGAACCTACCAAGCCTGTAATTCAGTGGTTGTCGTTGGTCTCTTTATTTTCGTTTATAGTTTTATCCATATATCAGGAAGTTTGGTTTTTCGTTTGAATTGTCATGGTGGTGCCTTTTTGTAGCAGACTATACAGTTAGGTATTCTCATATATGAAGGCCAGACGGTACCCTATAGGTCACTGCAAATCTCGTCATGATGTACAAGCTTTAAAAGATAGATATCAGCAGGGGGGAAAAGATGCCATAACGATAAAAATCAGTTCATGTAATTTATTACATGCATGGTATATTTTATAGAAAATAAAATGATTGGTTTTACATTTCGAGTTTGCCACTATCTGAGAAGTCAGTTTGGTGTTACTCATATATTCGTTCTTTGATTTGTGACAAGCCACGATATTTCCAGATTTATATATGATATATGGGTACCTCCTGTTATATCATATTTATCAAGTACATACTGAAAGAAAACATCCTCTCAAGTTATTATGCCAGATTTGTTGAAATAACAGTGTAATGAGTCTTTTTGCATATCGACATGATCGACATATGGAGTATCGATTCAAATTTTTGATTCACAAACGCATTAACTTATAAAGTGAAAATGTATTTCATTGGCACTGAGCAATTTCTAACAGCCTACTTGAAAACAAATTTCAAATGTACTAATGTACTCATTGGGAATCAAACAACATCTTGTTATTTTTATATAAACACAGCTCGTTGCTTTTAAAAAATGAATGTAATTTGAAATTTGCAATGGAACTTAAAATTATTAACACGTTTTTATTCGAGCGTCACTGATGAGTTTTATGCAGACAAAACGCGTGTTTGGCGTACAAAATTGTAGTCCTGGTATCTTTAATGAGTTTATTTAATATCAATGACAGCGTGTGTTAGGTGTTTTTATTAATTTGTTTTAGGCTTGACAGTTTGACAGTTTAATGATGCATGTTC